GATCTTCACATTTACAGGAATTTATAAAATCTTCTCAGGAAGAAATGTGTTATAATTCAAACTTCTCATTTTGAAAGTAATCCGCAAAATTGAGATATTCTTGAAGTTGACCGTATTTCTGCACATACAATAGAAAAGCTAGTTATTTTAATGAAAGCAGTGAAGCTTGACCTTTTCAAACTACAGCCACAAACAGGAATAAATTCATTTCATGGTAATCATGAACAAAAATTATTTTTATTATAAATAGGAACTCAATTTTAAATAAGTATTTCTAACTCAGAAAAGCTTTGGAAAGAAATAATATTATTGTGTAACTGTCTTATAAATTATAATTTTCTTATTATACTGAGTAAAAACGTAATAACTTCAATAACTTATTCAACAAAAATTTGTAAAACATATATCAAATACTGCACTAATGACTGTATAGGTACAGAAATTTAAAGATAACTTTCCCTGTCCCTAAGGAGAATAATGTTAGGTGGTACTACACTAATGACAATCAGTAATAAGTCCATAAAGAAGTGCAGACAATGTTATGAGGGCTCAGAAGACGAGTCATGGCAAGTTGAGGTGACCAGATTTAGCAGACATAAGGTTAATGACAAAAGTTTTCTGCAAGAGCTAAGTGTTCATTTAACAGTGACGCGACAAGGAAATACGGGATTTACTATAATCTGAAGGTGAGAGAGAGAGAGAGAGAGAGAGACATACAGAGATAAAGAGAGAGAATATAGAGAATATGAATAAATTGACCAAAGAGATTGAGATCAAGAATACAAGTACAAAATGGTAGGTTAAGGAGTAGGGTAATAATTTGACAGGAAATGGAATGCTGCTAAAGGCTTGAGAGTATGGGACTGATCTGATCTGAAGTGTATTTTAAGAAAACTGGTAAAATAGCCATTCTAGAATGTTTTGGCAACTAGTAATTACTATATGGCAAGAATTTAGGTCACAGGGTCCCAAATTTGAGGGCTAGCAATGAAGGTAGAGGATAAAGTATAGTAACAAGGTAGAACAAGTTAAGAGAGGAGTCAAGGATGACAGTGAGTGGAATAATGGCAGGGCTATTTACTTCACAGGCCTATTTGGGGAGTGAAAGAGATACATGTGTTCTGTTTTGGTCCCACCATGTACAAAGTGGTAAGTGGTAACTTGAGGAGATTCAGTGATGTAATGGTTTCTGTACTCTGTTTATGAATTCTGAGGGTCTACTCCCAATAAGATGAGAGAAAAAAATCTTGATAACCTTGACTTTTGTGGTAATACAGACCTACATAAGGAATGTGAGGAAGGCACTTTCCTTCTAGATAAGGCCTTGAAACATTTTTATATATTCTTTTTTTTTTTGGTACCGGGGATCAAACTAAGGACTTTGTGCTTGTGAGGCAGGCGCAGCACCACTGAGCTACATCCCCAGGCCTGACTTTTATATATTCTTAAGATGTCTGATTGCCTCACCTTGTTAGGAAAGAAGGAAGAAAAGAACAAGAGGGGAAATAACCTATGGACTACTTAGGTTTTTCATGGCCAGGTACTTAGTTTTTATTAGATACAAGTATTTTAGGATTAGAAACCTATAAAGGCTTGGCTGTTTTATATTATTTTCTTAATATTATTTTTCTCTATTATTTCTAAAACTTGTTTTAGAAGATTAAACTATCTCAGTTATAGTTAAAAAAAGAAGTTAAACTTCTCCTTGCTTTTATTACAAACAATAGCAAACATTAATCACTAACTGCTAGGTCCTATACCAAATGTTTAAAATGTGTTACTCATTTAATCTCCAAATCAAACCTCTAAATTTTATTATTTAGTTCCTATTTTAAAAATGAGAAAACTTAGGCTTAGAGAAGTAAAGTAACTTGCCTCTGAATTCTACTGCTGGTAAGTGGCAGAGTAAATAGCGTAAATTTCTGCTTAAAACTATTATAGTATACTATTTCTAAGTCTTAAAGGGTGAGTCTAGGGTACCATTTTGGGTAAGAAAAAACCCTCAAAACAGAAGTGCCAGTTAGCATTACTTGGCCATCCTCTTCACCACAAGATGCAGCATCCATAGTTTTCCTCCACTGAATCATTGGAGATAAGTCTTATTTTAATAATGAAAATTACGCTCTTATAGTACCAGATGAACCTATTGAGAAAACAGTTGGAATTGTGGGAATGATGTCAGAGCACAAAAGGAGTTTGGGGTCTTTTATTCAGAAGTAGCAGACTGGACCTGAAGAAAGGAATGGATCTGGTAGTACAGCTTCTAGAAGATAAAAGTCTCAAGGCAGAATCTTGTGCAATTGGTACTTTTAAGCAGTGCTTCCCAATCTTTAATCTATTTAAGAATCACTCAATTTTTGAAATATTGAGAGTTTAACATTCTCAAGCATTCTTATTTAATAGGTCTGGGGCAAGGCCAGGGATTACATATTTCTCACAAACTTCTAGGTGATTCTGACATGGCAGTGAAAGGCAATGCTTTGAGAAACATCAGTTTAAGATTTGGAAAAGAAAGAAAAGGGAAAAGATTAAACGGTGGGGACAGAGAAAGAAGAGAAGAAACGGGAAGACTTCAAGGAAGGGAAAAGGTATCTAATAATAATTTAAAGCTTTAATTTATTCAATAATATTTATGCAATACATTCAAAATTTAAAACTGACACTTGATACTCCTGTTGATGTATTTTCTTTTTTTTTTTTGATATATTTTCTAACCTCTTGGTGTTCTTGTATCTATCATGCCATCCCAATAATCTTATCAACTGCCCAGGAAGCCCCATCATCATATGCACTTTCTTCTTAATAAAAAAAGTTAGGATTTTGCCAGCTGCATATTATAGTGTTTTAGAAGATGTATATTTATATTTCAATTTTATAACAATTTTCATATCATTTGCTCTCTTCTTGTATTTCAGTTGCTTCTATATTACTTAAATATCATTAGATTAAAAACAATAATCATAGTTCAACTGTTAGGAGGAAGAACAAGAACAATGAAGTCAAGTTAGCAGGTCTTTGGGGAGACATACTGAGATCCTGAGATAATGGAAGCAAAATGCTTAAAAAAGGGACAAGTAAGAAAAAAAGCAAAGTATGAAATGCAAGGTGGAAGCAGAAAGACAGGAACAAATAGTTTGTGTAAGGCAGAAGAAGGATTTGGAATAACTGGGAAGTGAGAGCAGAAATAGTCACTTAGGTGGGCATTCAAGTGGCACTGAGCCCAGTCATTCTAAAGGGTTAGAGTAACTGTGGCCACAGAACTGCAACCCAAGAAGATAAACATGAGAGAACACGTGCAGTGCTGTTACTCAAAGGCACAAACAGAGGGACAGATAAGAGTGAGGATGATAAATGTAGGAGCACATGACAAATTCTGAATTTCACCACAGCACAAAAGTGCAAATGGGTTTCTGAAAATCCTTTGAGAAAGTCCTAGACAAATATTTTTTAATGAGGGGACACTCAAAAAGAAAATGAAGCTCTTTAATATTTTTATGTGAAAAAAGTACATATTTCCTAAACACGTATGATCTTGAAATGCCTTCAATGCCTAATGCTAAATGTTATATTTTATGCACATCACATTTGACTTTCTTTCCCTAAGAATATGTTTTTTTGCAGATCCTTTGTCTCAAATCTTCTTAAGCTTTCTGTGAGTCACAAAATTATGTGTGAGGCACGTAATCTGGAAATGATTTTTTTGCAAGCAGTTTAATGCATAACAATGCAGTGATTTTTCTACACTTCGTACACAATCCTTTATAAATGTGGTATACCGATAGGTTTTTCAATTCAACTAGAGGGTTGAGAACACTTAAAGTCATCAATATAAGCACTTAAGAATTTAAGTCTGGGAAAATGAATGCTGAGGTTATAGATAAGTGATGGTTCTTCCTTAAGCCAAATGGGAAACCAAAGAGAAGGATGAGGGTGGGGAAAGCATTCAGAGTAGGAGAGGTAGAAGCAAAATAAAAGATAAAAAGCTGAAGAGAATAAAATGAGAGAAGGAAGACTTAAGGATCAAGATGTTAGGGGCAGGCAAGATCATTGAGTGGTGGTTTGAGGTGGGAGGATAATTGTCAAAAGGGAAACCAATCATGATGTCATTCTCTAGACTGGGAGACTTCCACTGAACATGTCCTGAGAAATTCCTGTTTCATTATTCTCTATTTCTTTCCCTCTGCTCATGAGTTTATTTGCTAAGCTCCCCCCCCCACCCCATCTTTTACAAATTTCTCTATAACTCAGGTAATGGATCTCAAGTCTGGCCTTTTTCTTTTTTTTCCTTTTTCTTTTTTCAGTAGTTGGGATTGAACCAAGGGCCTTCACACTGAGCTATATCCTCTGCCCTTTTTTTATTAAATTTTGAGACAAAGTCTCTCTAAGTTACTAATTTTCCCAGGCTGGGCTCAAACTTGTGATCCTCTTGGGTTAGCCTCCCAGAGTCCTGGGATCATAAGCATGCACAACCATGCCCAGGTCCTTTACCCCTTTCCCCTTTCCTTTCTCTTTCTTTCTTTTTAAGACTAAATATACTGTTGATTTGAGTTGCTTGAAAAAAATCTCTCTTAAATATCCATGTAACTAGACTTGTTTTAAAAGACTGCAATAGTATTATTTGTTCTTCCATGTACCAGACAAAACTAAAAGCTCTGTGAGTAGACCAGAGCTTATGAGCTGCCAGCGGATTCTGGGAATCCAATGCACTCTTCAAAACTACCACTTCATCCCTATTATCAAATTTAGTGCTCAACAGGATATGGGGGAATCAAAATCAGTACAGTGGCCTGAACCTCTGCATTCCCCTCAATCTTCAGTTACTGTGCTCACTACTCAGTCTCATGTCCTCAAGAAGAGGATGTGGGTGGTATTAGAACTGGCAGCTGAGGTTCTTTCCTCTGATTGGTACCAGGTGCTTCTTCAGACTCAGGTCAACAAGAACTGTTCTAAAGAATAGGAAGCAGACAAGCAGAAGTGAGTCCTACATTTTGTCAAAGAAAATAAGGGAACTTAATATATATATAAGGAGTACACATGCAGAAGTGAAAGGACAGAGGTCCTTCATTAAGGGACAGCATTATTGCTCAATGAAATTTACCTGATGAGCAGAGTAAATTCTTGGAATATCAGGGGATCTATTCAGGGTAGAATAATGATAAGCATGAAAGGAATGGGTGGAAGAAGAGAAAATACGAAAAAAAAAAAAAAAGAAAAAAAAACAGGGAGAAAAGAGATCCTCTTTTAAATGTCACTGTCTTCTAATCATTTGTATCTTTTTGCTGGTCATAATTAGGCCCCAGAATCTACAGAATGGAGTGGTTCTAATATTTCACTTTACCTCTTTAATCCAGCCACTTTCTTTCGACTGAAGGAAAATTCTCTCCACTGTTTCTTTAACTTGTTCATCCTCAACTTCTTCTGTCTTTGCAATGGAGCAACATTCCTGGTATAGTTTGAATTTAAAATGTTTCAGTTTATGGTAAATTCTGGTGCGATCAGCACAAATTCTGCCAACAGTAAACACCTAAACCAAGAAATAAACAATATAATCTCACATATGAAGTAAATCATGTAGTAATATATATACAACATTTCAGATTTTCTTTAATAGAATCTAGCAAATTAATTTTATTTTAAATGTTTATATAATGATCCCGCTGTCTTCTCTTTTACAGTCAACAAAAACTGAGCACCCTATGTTTCCAGTATTGGGCTAGGCACTGGAGATAGATAAGGGAAAGGTTTACTGTCTTGATTAGGGATGTACAGTCTTGGGATTATAAAACAATGTGATAAATGTAATGTTTAAGATACTATCAAGAGGCTAGTGAGGAGTGACATTTAATCCAATCCAGAGAGAAGGAAGGTCCCCAAATCCGTGTTGCTTGAACTAAATGATCAAAACACAGTTAGTCAAGTTTGGGGAGGAAGAGAGAAATGGTTTGTAAGGCAGAAAGATGGACATACATGAAAGCAAGAGAAAGCTGTACATTGCATATACATATTTGATAATGTTCAATAGATAAGCCAAGACTATGTTGGCAAAATCAATTTAAGTTATATCATGATGATTGGCAACAGTCAGAGTTGAGGCATTTTCTTTTGAAGATGGTATTCTGGATAGCTTATAACCTTTCTTAAGATCCCCCAAAGCTGAAGAAAAGCATGTTTAGATTTCTGTTCATGCTCCTGTGAAAATCTTCCTGCTTTTCAGATCATTAGAATTAATTAGGTATTATAATTTGCTTTTTTCTTAAATTAGCTTTTCCATTTCAACATTATCATCAAACCAGTCCTGGTAGTGAAGAGTATTAAAATAATTCAATAGTCAATATATGTCCCTTAGGAAAAAAAGACATTAGAATAGTTGCAGTGCCTTTTCAGGGTTCCTTGGGTTCTATTTCTGCCATCAAAGTCAAGTGTGAGGGAAAGGTCTTCTATAGCTGTTCTAGATAAAATATAGTCAAACAATATTGCAATTTGTAGTTCTATCATACTGTAGTCTCTATTTCCACAAAATAAGAGAAATTTATCTGTATAGAAATTTTAAGTTGCAATAAAGAAGTATTTAAAATTCTTATTTTAATTTTTCCTCTATGAAACAAAAGTAACATTTGAAAATATTTCTTTTAATTTTAACTTCTGCCTTCTTAGCATCCACTTAGTTTTATAAAGGTGATAACCCCAAATGATCTTTAGAATATTCTCACACTATTTTCCCTAAACATGAACACATTTTACATGCAAAAGCCTAATTTTATAAGGCAGAACCCTAGTCTTGTAAGGTTTCATAGAAAACAGTGGCTTATTATTCCAAATGGACTTGTTCCTTACCCTATACCTGTTTTTATGTGTATTGTTACAGCCCACATCACATGAATTGATGAATACAGTGCAGAACAGCTTACACTGCAGTATTTTATTTGTATAAAGTACAGTAAAAACTAATCTATGCTTAGAATAATTTTTTTATATGTTCAGAAATTTACTCAGAGCTACTTCTACTTATCTAGTTACATTTCCATACAATAAGGAAACCTGTGTAACAAGAAAGATAGTATCAAAAAGATTAAATGCTGCCTGAGTGTTCACAAAGCAGATAAGCAGGATGAAATATAAATGATTACTGATCTGTGCAGTTTAGCACATTTCTATGAACTGATAAATCTGAGGATAACTGAGTCACCTGTTATCAATGAGAACCAAGTAAACCTATATATCCAAAGATATATAGCAAAAGGATGCTAAATTGCAAAACAGTAGAAAGAGCCTGATTTGATTAGATACATCATGTAGATGTATAAATTAATATGAGATAACAAACTAAGGCATGGAAATAGCACAAAACATGCATTATGTATACATGGAAATATCCAGCTAACTGCAGGTAATTTTTTGAGTTACTTACATAGGCTCTCATTTATTTATTTGCTTTAATTAAGTTATTCATTTATTTCTATTAGGATATGTTTGGAGTATGTAATTACATTCATCATAGGGGTTGGTACATGTACATAATATATTTTAATTCTTTTTATGTCTCCGTCCCTCTCCTCCATCTCCTGGTCTCATTTGCAAAAGATCTACGTCCCTGTTTCCTCACCTATCTTTCAGTTTGCTCTTTATTTATACTTTGGGTTTCTCATTTAAGAGAAATCATGTTATATTTATGCTTGTCTGATTTATTTTACTTAAAATTATAGTCTCCAAGGTACAGCTGTCTCATTTAATATACAGAGAAGCCAGCCCCTTGTGGAAGTAAATGTATGGAGCACAAACAAACAAACAAAAACATACTCAAGGAAAGGGAGGGATGGGAAAAGTTTGAAGAAACACTGCAATAGTTTGACCAAGGGATTCTATTTCCTCTTGATCTGTTTTTTTTAAAATGTGGGCACATTATACATTGCCACTTGCCTCAAAATTACTACCTCTTCCCATGAGATCTTAAGCATCTTAAGGAGTCCAGACAGACTATGTGTAAAACTAAAAAGTGACTCAAATTTTTGTTTTTAGTTTTCTCAGCTGCCTTTCAAGCTTTATATCCTTCTTTGCTCCAGGTAACAATCTCTCTCTCAACAGTGCTCTCAGAATTCACTACAATCTGGTGGTCCAAGGCTTCTTATTTCAGTACCTGGCCCAACACCACTGTAACGAAATTATTCCTATTAATTGCATTTTCTATCAAAGCATACATTTGAAGAAGCTAATCTCTGGTAACTGAAGAAGAAAGTTTTATCATTAAACAAATTCACTGTTACATAAGTTCTTTTTAAATATTATGTACACCTTTAAAAAGGGCTGTAATCCCAGAATCTCACTTTTATGTTATTACAAGCAGCATCACAAAATGGAGAATTAAAATAATAGATTATTTCAAAATAATCTGAGGGTAGGTGTCGGGGTGAGACAGTCTCTTTCAGGCTCTGGATTATAAACAGGATTGTTTCTCCCACTTTTTTACATACATGCATTGACGCTGTATTTATATGCTGTAAGTTTTACTAAGTGAGTCTTCATTTTAAAGAAAAATTTACCAAAAAAAATCATTAAAGAAGTTCAATCTTACTTAAAATATACAACAACTGGGTTAAGGTTTACATATAATTAAATACAAAAATCAACATTTTTGCACAGAAATGTACACACTGCTTAATTCACTTTCTTTTTTCTTTTTTTTTTTTTGGTACCGGGGATCGAACTTGGGACCTTGTGCTTGCGAGGCAGGCGGTGGAACCGCTGAGCTAAATCCCCGGCCATGCTTAATTCACTTTCATCAAGCATTACTTGACAATATTATACTTTATCATTGATTTAAAAATACTCTGCTACTTAAAAAAGATATCAACCTTTATCTTAAGATAGTCTTATCTGCATGCATTTAAACAGACAATTTATTTCATTTTTCCATATATTTAACTTTAATATTTTTTCCATTGTGTTGTGGCTATATTAATACTCTTATGTAATGAGATCTCTTTTATTTTTTAGATGTTTGAATCAACTACTTACATATATATTTTGCAGTACTAGGGACTGAACCCAGGGCCTTTGTATACTGTACTGGATCCCCAATGACTCCTCTCCCCTCTTTTGAGAAAAGGTCTTATTAGGTTGCCCAGGTGAGACTAGAACTTGTTATCCTCCTGCCTAAGCATTCCTCAGAGCTGGAATTAAAAGTATGGGCCACTCCACTGGGCTTGTATACGATCATTATTCCTTGACAGGAATGCCAAAGCTCTAGAAATGGTTTTCAAACTACACTTTCCTCTCCTGGGTAAGTTATAGATAGCAAAGACTATGAATATTCAGCAATATATTGGATCTCTAAAACTGTACATGATCTTTTCAGTATTAAATCACTTTTGCTAGGGTTCTAGGGGTCTTATCCCATAAGAAGTCACAGATCAGTCTTTAAACAATGCAGAAATTGCTGAGAAAAGAAATGTGTTTTTATAGTAACAAAATATTAAAGCCCAGTTCTGAATTCACCATACAAATACAAATTTTCTAAGTGACTCTTGGAATCCATATTGTGGAGGATCTAGTCTGTTAATGCCCAAGAGTACTGAGGAATCACACTACCTAGGATAGCAGAAGAATTCAAATAAATAGTGTTTCTACTATAAAAACAGGGAGGATTTGGGGATAACTTTGGCTCTGTATCACTCCAAACACACATACCCTTCACGGATATGCACTCACTATAGGAAACATTCAATAGTAATATTTTTGCATTTATACATGCAGCTTTCTTATAAAGATTAAATAAACAATAGTCAGGGTCTACACTTTGCATCAGTTCACATTGTGCTGCTGTGCTCTTTTCTATCAAATACTTATTCTTTAATATTCTCTGTTCATTCAAAAATTAATACTATTTTAAGTACAAGGTGATTACTTCTAACATACTTCTTATGTAGTCTAAGTTGAAGCATGGTGTTCTTTGAATTCTCATGGTAGAATAGATAGCCATCTTCAATTACTTACTTACGGACTACTAGTTTGATGGATTATCTACCATAAAATTATCCACTTTGTCAAGTTCTCCTTTGGACTCAAAGGCAATCTCTGCTTCTCCTGCCCCAGTGATCTTTCTAATCATTTTCATTTTGCATCCTCCCCTCCCCACAGTTCAGGTGATAGCTATATCTATATCTATCTACAGAAGATGCAGCAATTATATCACTGAATTAGAAATGAATATGCTATAAAAGGCATACTTTTCACATTCAAAAACTGTACTTTCTTTCTTTGAATTATTTCCCTTCATAGTTTTCTCTACTTGTAAAACTTAAGGTTATGTATAAAAGCTTATAAAATTTCTAAATATTGGAAATTTCTAAATATTTAAAACTAAAATTTAAAAAAATATACCTGTTTATCATGAGACATGAAGTCATCGGTTTCCATAGTTCTGATGTTATACAACTTTCCTGATAAGTGCACTGAATATTTACAGTAGCGATGCAATCCACAAGCCTGGCAAGAACAGTTTTCAGGATTCTTCAAATGGATACGTACATTAGAATAATTTTCCACCCGCTCCTGAAAACAATTTAAAAATATTAGGGAGCTTAAAATAAAAAAAGCAAACTAAGAATCCAACCAAATTAAAATTGACCTTAGAATCACAATGAGAAGTAACAAATGCAAAACACACTGGTATTTCTTACTTTTAACACTCAGAACATAGCAGGTGTTTGACATATTTTTAAATGAAATTTTAATCTTAGCTATTAAATTAAAAGAAATCAGATGAGGAAAAAATTAGATTTGTATCTCACACTTAAGAGTGACTACTAAGTAGTATACTTGATAGAGTTTACTTCTTTTCTATCATCTCATTGCTTAATTATCATTAATGAGGTATTAGTTAAAAATAGGAATGAATGAACAGAAAAAAAAGATTACATCTTAGCGAGGTCAAAGTTGAGAAAAGAATCACATTCATTCTTTATTGTATAAATTATATTTTCCACAAAACATTACAAAAATTATTTAATTCTCCTGTTACAGCCTTGGGAAAATAAACATATTGGAATTATGACTGTCACATGTGTGCCAGGGATTTAGCTCAGTGGTTCTGCTGCCTGCCTCGCAAGCGCAGGGTCCTGAGTTTGATCCCCAGTACCAAAAAAAAAAGACTGCCACATGTTCAGCATCTGATCTGTCAATCAGTAAACAAACTGAAAAAACAGTTGGCATGCATAAATAAGCTTTATTAAGCTGTGAAGTTACTTGTGCTTGAGTATTTTCCCTTACACTCTAAGGCCTGGGCTACGGATAGTACTGTTCCAATTTGTAATTAATATGTGAACTACACATAATAAACATATTATCATAGTTACTAATCCACATTAATAGCCTCTTCCAGCCCGATGGCAAAAATATACAATAGCTTTCTTTGCACACTATGATTTATACATTGTTTTGTCTGCTTTTCCTATTTCTCATACTTTATGGCACTTCATGACACATATCATTCATTGGCTGAAATTCAGACCAAATAGGTGATTAGCTTTTCTTTCTCCTTCTGTAGAACTCATGGAAGCATAGGTTGAGATAAAACCTCTGAGATAAAAGCCATTGGCTTGGTTCCTGAGTGTGTACAATGAACAGAGCATTCCTAGTGACTAATTTCATGTATGTGACAAATGTACTTTGTTGGATTAAACTACTGATATTTTGTTATTCATTTATTTTATTTGTCATATTACATATTACTTATTTTATCAACTGTAGTATGTTATGCTTTCTTTCTCCTTCCTTCTTTCCTTCCTTCTTTCCCTCCCTCCCTCGAATAGAACTCAGGACCATGTACTTGCAAGGCAGGCGCAGCGCCACTGTGCCTCCCAAAGCCTCATGTGTTTGGAAGGTGATTAGATCATGAGGGGTACTACACTCAACAGTAGATTAGTTCACTGATGAATTTACAGCTGACTTGCTAATAGGAGGTAGGTCACAAGGTGCATTACCTGGAAGGCTCTATCACCCTCCCTGGGCTCTATCGGCCTTCTCTTCTCTTTGCTTCCTGGCTACCACACCTATCTTCTGCCAGGCCCTTTTATCATGCCATTTTTGCCTCACAGCCTGGAGACCATGGAATGAAACTTCTGAAATTTTGAGTCCTAATAAGCTTCTCTTGCTTTTAGTTGTGAGTGTCAGTTGGGTATTGTGTCTCAGCAATAAGAAAATAACTAACACACAGTGTAACTCTTTTATTTATCCTAATATCTTACTGAATCATCTATCCATGTCTCTAATAATTTTGTGCATTTTATAGTTATTTCAACATGGGTTTATTACTACAGCCTAACATAGCATAGAGGGATGGATTTTGGAGTCTGAAAGAAAATAGATTAAAATATTGGCCTAACTATTACCCATGAAACCTTATGTTACTTAATTTTTCTGAGATTGTTTCCTTGATTGTAAAATAGAGGTGATACTATTGCCTTCCTCATAGGGTATTCTGAAGAGAAAATAAGATACTTTACATGTGAATCACTTGGCAAAAGTTAAGTACATACTATTTTTCTTTCTATTAAAGAAAAGTAGCTGCTGCTGTGGTACACATCTGTAACCCCAGCACTGAGGGAACCAGAGGAAAGAAGAACTTGAGTTTAAGTTCCTTGTGGGCAACTTAGAGAGACCCTGTCTCAAAGTAAAAAATAAAAAGGGCTAGAGATGTAGCTCTGGGGTAGAATGCCTCTGGATTTGATCCTCAGTATTGCAAGAAAGAAAGATAGAAAATTAAATAGAAAGATAGAAAGAAAGAAAGAGAGAGAGAGAGAAAGAGAGCGAGAGGGAGGGTGGGCACATTAGAAGGAGGGAGGGAGCAAATGATTATGCCATGTTATAAGAGCTGTATCCATTTTATCTTCAAATTAAATGGATCTCTTTAAAGGTAAATATTGTCTGTATCTGAGGAAGAAACTGGAGTACAGAGAGGTTGAAAACCAAAAGAAAAGAGAAATATATAGTAGCTTTAAACTCAAGTCACTCTTCACCTTAAAGTCTTGTAATTCTATAATCATGTAACTGTCTTAAATCCAACTATTTACACCCAATTATCACCAGGTAATTCAAGGATGAACAGGCCTTGGATGAAACCAAATACTTTGACTAAATGAGATAAAATGGTTAATTATTTAAGTGTTAGAGGGATTTTATGTAACTTGAACTTTCAATACTTACTGTTTTCCTTTTAAGAATGTTAGAAATAGGTGAGAAATCCTTAAAAATCATATAGTACATCCTTTAATATTAGAGATCATAAAATAGATTTCTCGAGAATAGCATAAGATCCAGTAAATCTTATAAATTAAAAGGGTAAGTTCCAAAATTGGCAGAATTACAGAATCTTAAGGTAGAGAAGAGGTCATGTATTACATAGGCCAATGTTTCCCAAACTATTTTATGGAAATCAAGTATCTTAGGAAGAATAACAACCATTTCATTAAAAGGAACCTCAAAGTAAAACAAAAATTTGGAAAGTGCTACCTTCTATTTCACCATCTTGAATTCAGATTTAAAGTATAAATTCACATATTAATGTTCCTGAAAAGTCCTTCAGTAAAGATTATAGTTTACGTTTAACTCACTGTTTCTCAAACTTCTTTGTCTATGTAACTCTCTTTTCTGAAATAACAACTCCATGAGAAATATATTCTCTTTTTAAAAGATAGCCTAAGCCCTAGAAATGTTCTAAAGTTATTTGTCATTTACAACCTCTTAATTACTAATAAGTTTAGGGGGCCGGGGATTTAGCTCAGTGGTTTTGCCGCCTGCTGCGCAAGCACAAGGACCCAAGTTCGATCCCTGGTACCAAAAAAAAAAAAGTTTAGTGTGCAAGATCAACAGAATAATGTGATCTACAGAATAATGGTTTTTAGAAAAGACAAGAAATAATAAGCTGATTATTCAATAAAGAGAAATGCTAATACTTTAGAAGATTATTCTGACTGGACACTGAAATGCTAAGAGGTTCCCTCCCCAATTCCCCTGTCAGAGACTCAAAAATAAACTGTATACCTTATATTGCTCTTTCCAACGACTCCTAGAAGATAAACTCTCCAGTCGGGGCTGAACAAAGCGGTTATCCAAATAGTGAAGAGATGTCAACATATCTTGTGCATATGATTTTTGCCTGGTCCCATCTATTCAGATCAACACAATAATAAAAATAATTATATTATCCATGTAAAGCACTGAAAAAATTGAACATTTAAGGATATCTTTTCATGGTTTTATGAAGATGGTTGACCGGAAGTATTTAAAATTAGAAACAAATTAATTAAAATATTATTTCAATAGAGCATGAGGGGGAAAATCAGGATAAGAGACTACCGTTCTCTTCGTAAGTATCAAACTTTAACATTATTTTTGCTAGAAGAAAAACCTTGCCAAGTTATCTTTTTTATTCTCTTATGCAAAACTGACACAGATTAACCATTTAATTCCAGATAAAATTTAAAGCTGACTAGGCTTCCAAGTCCCTCTGCAATTGGCTCCATTCTATTAATCCAGTGTTAATACCTCCTCATGTCAACAACCAGAATCCTTTTTTCAAGCTATCCCTTTTCCATAGAATGTTTTCTTTAGAATCCTTCACAATTTGAGATGCCTCATTTGGTTTATATTATATTCTCTCTTTATACATATCTGTCATAGCCTGTGAAGTTAAGCATTGATTTTTTTGTCTTTGAAATTTTCTTAATGAATATAATCTGGTTAATTTATATTTTCTAAAATCACTACACATTCAAACACTTATGGCTTACAAAGAACTCATCTCTTCTCTCTCTTCCTCAATTCATTCCATTCTGGCTATAAGGCCTTCTAGTTGTTCTTGAATACACTAAACTTCTTTCCTAAGAGTCTTAGAACTTGTTGTACCCCTAGGTACATGTATTACTTCTTCCCACATTTCATTTATTTTTTTATTTAAAATTTACCTTTTGAAAGACATTCTTTGATCTTAATATATAGTGCAGACTTTAATTTCCCTTACTATCCTTTATCCTACTTTATTTTTTCCAAGAACTAGATTACATTATGATACATATTTATTCACTCATTTATTGTCTGTCTTTTCCATTAGACTTTAAACATGAACAGAAATCTCATGTTTTAGTCATTGCTATATCACCAGCCCTTAAGTAGTTCCTTGTCCATAGTAAGCATTCAATAAATTATGAATAAAATCCTATTCTGGTACTTAAGTAGGTATTCAACAAAACATATTTATAGCCTATTAAATCCAGATTTTGGCCTGGATGTAAGAAACACATTTATACATCAACTGTAGTTCTTCTCACTCTCTAATAAGGGAAGAAAACAAAAATTATTTTCAATACAATATGAAAAATACATTACATGAGTGCTACCATCTCATCAGGATGGTGGCATGAATAAGAGAGTGAAAAATATTACTTGAGTGGGTCATAGACAGCTTTCATAGTGGAATGTTTAAATCTCATCTGGGAAATCTGGAGTAAAAGGAAATTATATTCTAAGAAAAAACAAAAGCCTTAAAACATAAATAGTATGTAAATTCTGGTGAACTTACAGAAGTTGGACTGCACAAGAGTACCGAAGTACCCTGCTGATTTGTAAGCATACGTCAGGGCAAGGCCCTGTCACATATTTACCTTCTATATATCTCAAGAAATACTAGAATGTTTTTTATATGAAACACTAGGATCTTTCTTATATGAAACGCTAGGATGGTTTTATATTTTTGGTATGGTTTGTCCTTGAAGGAACAACTGGTAAATCTTAATGATGGTTCATTATTTTGTTTGTTGCTTAAAACTTGGAAAAAAAATTGTTCCAAACGTGCTATTAACTTACCATACAATGAGGGGCTGGGGATTTAGCTCTGTGGTTCCACTGCCTGCCTTGCAAGCGGAAGGACCCAAGTTCGATCCCCGGTACCAAAACAAACAAACAAAAAAGGCAAAAAACAAAAAAGAAACAAACAAACAAAAGTACTTACCATACAATGTTCTCAGAAAAGAGTCATCTAAAGCATTGATCAGCAGAGCCTTTACCACTCTTTCAAAGTGAGTATAGTGGTCACTAAAAGAATCTGAAATTAATTTAAAATAAATATTAGGATCTGACAGACAAAACAATTCACTGAATGCAATAGGCTCCTTTTCCTACTTGAAGAAACTAATATTTTTTTATTTTTGGTACCAAGGATCGAATTCAGGTCCTTGCGCTTGCACAGCAGGAGGCGAAACCACTGAGCTAAATCCCCGGCCAGAAACTAATATTATAAATAGCAGAAATAGCTTAATCATCCTATAGATGTCTTGGTAACTTGAGCAGATCTCTATTTTCTAAATTTTCTGGCTTCTAGTCCAATTTTTCTACTTACTATTTCAAGTTTTTACTTCTTAAACTTATTAAGGGAAAGTATTTCAGGGAATATTAAGAGATATGTCGTAAAAAGTATCAAAATCATACCTTATACAACTAAGTTTATCAACTGAACATCTTGTGTGACAGCCAGAGGGAAAAAAACCTCCAAAGACAGACTGTTTAATATGCCTTAATCTGTAAAGCTCATTATACATGATATTGTTCAAGAAACTGCTACCCTAGCCAGAACCCTAATGGCTATAAAAACTCCATTTCTCTTTCTGCTGCGCCAGATTTGAAATTTGTCACATTAATTTAGCAAGGTTGTGTCTTCTTCTCTATCCCACACCACCTACATAAGACTGCTTTCCCACTGATCTAGTCTCACAGATAAAACTGTCTGTTGTGACAGGTCAGGCAGTGATGCTATTACCATTACTTTTGAGTGAGGGTTTACTATTGCTGTGGAAATATTCCCTTATCAAATATGACCCCTTCCTCGATCCAAATGGTCATCACGGAATATCTGTCCTGCTTTGGGCACCTAAAGGAAAGTAAGACCTATCATTATCAACAAGAGTATACTTGGCTTCTTTCCAGTTAAAGTCAAAATAAAGATGGGACTGAACATAAAATAACCTTCGTACTTATATTTTTGTTAGTAAAAGGGCAATGCATATGTTTTTCAGACTTCAGTGAAAATTTTAGTCTGTGTTCTTTTCTAAGAATACACCTATGGAGGTGCTGAAGTAATCAAAATATAGCAGTAAAGGTAAATAATGACAGATAATGTGCATTGGGGCCTGAGACTTCAGAGGGTCTATCATCATTGAAAATTAAAAAAAAAAATCATAGCCATTAATGAGTATAACATTTTCTTTAAAATTAGCAGAGCAAAATTGGGAAATGAAATGCAGTAGTACTTCAAAATGATTCAACTTTGACTAGACTTTCATTAAACTCTGGATGTAACATAACATTTCTATATAGCTTCATGTTAAATTAATCTAAACACATTCTGGCACTTCCTAAAGTGTGTTAACAGAAAACTATTCTGGGAATATTAGCATTTATATTGAAAAGTCAAATTCATCCTCTGTGCACCTAAGATTAACTGTCAAACACTCAGAATTTTTTACTCTACTATGTTTTAAATGTGTTGATGCTTAGTTATTCATCTGCTATAGTTTTATACAGTGCTGCTCTACTCAAAGACTCTCACAGTGTTTCTTTATGATTGGGAAGAAAAGGATAACAGAGATCAGAATCACTTGCGGAGCATTTTCCTAACCACAGGATCCCTCTCCTATCAATGTGCATTAGAATCTTTCAAAAAGATCAGAAAGAAAACCCTTATTTTATTATGGTTGAGTTGATAGGTGGGTGGTGATAGATTATGCTGAATTCTCCAGCTTAAAAATAATTAATATTATTAAGCAAGTATATGACAGCTATCATTCTAAGCAGTTAGATACATTGCTTCATTTCTCACAATAAACCTATGAGCTACTATTACCCTCAGTTTATTTTTAGTGGAGGAAATGAAAGGATGAAAAATTTTTCTAGTTAAGAGTTAGAATCATGGTTAGAACTCATGTAGTCTGCTTGCAGATTTCATGCTCTTATGCCTTAAACAGATGTTAAGCATGATAGTAAGATTTCATATTATCTTTCAAAGCACAGAAATTAGACTTGGATGTAGAATTGGAGAAAATGAAAATTTCTCATCTTAAAATCATAAAACAACACTTTCAATGACAAAATAACTTAGAGCTCTAAGGTTACACAACTAGATAGAGGCAGAAGCAGGATTAGAACTCAGACCACCTTGAGAGCTTTTATCGGTGCTCCAATTCCTGTACTGAATTTGCTTCTGTGAAATATCCTAAGTTTAACTCCCTCCATGTTAAAATATTTGCATTTATTTCCTCCATGGGAAAATATTTGCATTTATGCATAATTTCAATTTTTCTAAGACATTTAATCAAATTTCCTATGCCTCATTTGATAGTCTAATTGTTCTCTGTTGATTTCCATGCATCCTTTATTACACAGTATTTCATACTGATTTGACTGTCATTTTCATGCCAGTACTGAACTTGTGCTATTTATTGTAACTTTATAATAACTTTTTATATCTAGTAGGGAAAATCCTTTCAATTTACTCTTTAAGAATTTATTTTCATATATTTGTTCTTTTAGGTGAATTTTAGAATTGTTTTGTTAAGATTAAACCAAAATTTATCAATAGGGAAAAAAGGAACCCTTCTATGTTGTTAGAACCCTTCTATGTTGGGAATATAGACTAGTAAAACCACTAGGGAAATCAGTATGGAAATTCCTCAAAAAATTAAAAATCACAATAACATTTGGCCCAGCTATACCTCTCGTGGGTATCTTCCCAAAGGATTTAAAGACATCATATTACAGTGATACATGCATACCCATGCTTATAGCAGAACAACTACAATAGGTAAGTCTTGGAAGCAGTCTATATGTAGATTAACAGATGAATGGATAAATTGTGGTATAAATACACAATGGAGTATGACTGAACCATAATGAAGAATAAATTTGAGTAATTTTAGGAAAACGGATGCTTCTGGAGACCAAAATGCTCAGTGAAATAAATCAGACAAAGAAGTTAAATACTGCATGGTTTCTCTTATATGAAAAATGCAAAATTTAAATAAACAGCAAAATAAAATATAGATAGGAAATGGAGATAAGACTGGAGATGGGGAGGGGATCTTGGGATGTAGGGAGAGGGAGAGGAGGACAGATGAAGTGAAAGTAAAAAGGATCAAGATAGATGTATGTGTGTCAATTCCCCACAATGAATGTATTTTATGTATCACTACATATATTAATAAAAAGGGAAAAATTAATTTCAGAATAACTTCTTGCTGTCTCTCCCATTTATTCATGTTTCTTATTTCACAGTAAAGTTTATTTTTGCACATACAAAATTTTTGCACACTACATTTGTTAAGATTAGGATTAGAAACTTTTATTTTGGTTGCCAGTGTACATGCAATTTTTCCTGATTATACAGTCTAAGTATTTATTGCTAGTATTCAAGATAATTATTTTGACTGGCCATTCTTCTGAGATCTTTTATTAATTTCAAAAGTGAAATTTTCTAGAATATTTGTGGGAGATGAGTTTTCTGGTGCACTGTAGACACATACTGTTAAGGGATTCCTGGGCACTGTCTGTTTCTCTCCCAATTCTGGTCTTAGTTTGGTTTATTTAAGGAAGCAAAAGGTTTATAAATACTCACTGAGGTAGAAGCACATAGATTATTGATGTACTTTCTTTTGGAATGAAGATGTAAGCCTAGTTCAAGAAGGTAGAGGCAGAACAAAAATCTTACTTCTCTACTCCAATAGATCCCCCCTACCCGCCATATAAAAAGAAAAGAATGGGGAAAGATATAATTACCTGCTCTCAAAATATTCATATCCTTTTTCTTTTGTATCTTTGGCTAAATAAGTAAGTTATAGTTTATGTGGGTATATTTATATATGCACATAATATATCATATTATATTCAAATAATGTCTTTTTCAATACAGATAAACCCTCCATTTACAATGGGGTGATGTCATTCTAAGTTCAAAATATCTTAAAGTGAAAGCTCACTTAATACACCTAACCTGGGGTGGTGCTGTTGTTAAGGCCCCAAGTTCAATCTCCAGCACTAGAAAAAGAAAATAAAACACAGGAATACACCTAATTTACTGAACATCATAGCTTAGTTAACACGGTATACTAAAGTATCAGTTCTTTATCCTCATTTTTGTGTAGATGACTTGGAGCTGTAGCTTTATGTTGCCACCTGGAATCCCAAGGAAGTATCATATTGGCTATCACTAGCCCGGGGGGGGGGAAATCAAAATTTAAAATAGGATTTTTACTGAATGCATTTCACTCTTGCAACATTGTAAAGTCAAAATATCTTAGGTAGAAGCATAAGTTGGGAATCATCTGTACTTGTTTATTTCTTGTTTTGCTTTTATATTCCATTGCATTGTTCAAAAGACTCAGAACAAATGGAACAGGAAATATTTTTGTATTCTTCACTTTTAAAAGAATACTGTACTTCTATGATGCTTCATATAAGTATGATGTTGGTTCTTGGTTTAGAATATTGTCATGTAAAGGACATATGTTATTACTAATTTTTACATACTTGCTTTTTCTACTTTAGAATCTCAATAAATTACATGATTTTTCCTCTTTTGATATATTAATGTAGTATGTTAATGACTGTTAATAGATGATTTTTATAGTTCTAAAATGAATGGTTAAAGGTCTTTTTTTGTTAGTTAGAAAAATAGTTCCTTCATATATCTATTTCCAAAGTTATTTACATCAATTTATCAGGAATGTTTCTTTAACCTCTATAAGCATACAGGTTTTTATGTGTGATGAAAGTAACTCTAGAATGTTTTCCTATCTAAAAATATGGCTTGAGTTTAGTATATACAAATAATTTTTACCAATCTCACTAAAATTTTTAAAATTTTCTTTTAAATTTTCTGTCATTCTGTATACCAGACTCTCAGGAATTTGTGAAATAGGATCTTATTTCTATTCCTTTATACATATTTTATCTTCTTTAGAATTGCTATTTCTTCTTTACATTAGTTCTTAGCTCTACACTACATATCACTCATGAGATTTTCTGTACTGTTAATTTTGCTCTCTACTGCTTGCAATATAGATTTTATTTCTGACCTTATATTTTTAATTTTCTGGAAATTCTCTTAGCTAGCTATTTTTAACTTCAAATTGTTCTCTCTTAACTGTTTACTGTTTTTCATAGAATGAAAGGAAATGCTTTTTCTTCAGTTCCTTTAATGAAACATTTTTCACAGAAATTTTCATTTGAGTTTATATTTACCTTATACACTGGTGCTTTTTACTTATCAAAGAACAAATGGAAAAGTTGCAAGATTCAGAACTTAATGTAAATGATTATGACATTTTTCTTATGGTCAACTCTTTACTGTGGTGATTCAGTGATTCCCTTTCCTTGCTAGATGAAGATTACATTGATATTCACTTAGTCTAACTTCTAGTATTTTAGCAAGGCACTATAGGCTAAAATGTACTCTTCTCATCTCTGCTTATTGTTTCTGACATTTTAATATGAAAAGGTACTAAAATATATACTCTTTATTATCCATATATTAGGTTACTATCTACCTGTGTATACTTCCTATCTACCTGTGTATACTTTTTCCAACATGCGAACCTGGGAACACTAGTCTAGTTATAACTTAATCCAGACTATGGAATGTTTTTCATTACTCATCATACAGGATATTACTTTAATGTGAAAATATATTTTGATTATACAATAATTGACTTACAGCAAATCTTAGAAGAGAATCCCCTAGCAAATAAAAAAAACCTACTTAAATTTCATTCTCTTCATTTAAGATAATAAAGTTGATAAAATTATTTGTATTTAAAAATTAGCTAAGCCATAAATTATTCTAAAATATATGCTTTCTGATTTTTTAAAAAAAATCTGGTCATGTCTAATATTTATCTCAGTCTTAAAATATAAAACTCAGGAGTCTTCCGACAATATGCTTAATTACCCATCTGACTACCAATGAATTTCTATAATATGTCACAAAGTCTAAAGGAATACAAAAAAAGTAGGAATACAAATACAAAAAAACAGGAAGGAATACAAAAAAAGGGAAGGTGGTTAACCATTGAGTAGGAATACAAAGGGAAGGTGGTTAACCATTGAGTTTTACTGTGATTTGGAAGTGGGGGCACCCACTTGGGTTATTTTATTAGGCTTTACATTTTTGTGAACCAAAAATTATTTTTTATAGTTCCAACCAATGTATAAAATAATGTAACTACAACAATAGCTGGTGCTCCATCTCAAACTCTTTTACAATACCTATTAATCATTTAGTTTTGCACATAGAGTCTGAAATGGCTGATAGTCCGATAAAGACGCTAAATAACATAATGAAAAAAACTAGACCTCATGCTTAGAAAAAATATTGCCTGGAGATTATGGGAACTTTTGTCTATATATTGAACTAAAGTTCATGGGAAATATAATTGTCCCAAGTACAAGCAAAATGAATGTAGTTGAAAAATCTTGAATTCCTGGGAACATCAACATTTATATGGCAAATGGGGAAAAAAAAGAGGAAAACAGTATTACAAAGGAAAAGCAGGAAAGATCACTACCAAAAAGGCTAAAAAAGAAGAGACTGGTTAATGGCAGCAAAGGATATAGCAATACTAGGTTCATAAAAGAACTGAAGATTATATTAGTAAGTAGGTTATCAATAACTTTAGCAAGAGAAATTTCACTGAAGTGATGGATACCAAATCCTCAGCACTTTGTATTTTTATTGAGAAACAAGTTCAAAAAGGTAAGATTTAGAATTGTGGCTGATGGAATATGCCACCTCAAGGGAGGAAAGGCACAAACCTGGTTATAAGTGGAAGAAAGATAGCTTATAAGGCTAAAGACTTGTAAGCTGAAAATAAAGAAAACTGAGTGGATGGAAGAAACAGATGTAATTATGAACACACAAATTAAAACATTGCATAAAAAATCAGATGCATCTTCTCCAAAGGTAGAGATATTTAGTATTAAAAGTAAGCTTACAGCTCTGTCGTATTTATTCAAATGAGGTAAAAACTTAGGTCCACAGAAAGACCTATACACAAATATTTATAGCAGCTTTATTCATAACTGTCAAAACATGGAAGCAACCAAGATATCTTTCAATAGGTGAATGGATAACCAAACCGGAAAATACACATAATGAAATATTATTCAATAATAAAAAGAAATGAGTTATCATGAAATGCATAATGTTGAATGAAAGAAGCCAATAGGAAAAGTTAAATTCTGTGTGATTTCAACTTTATGACATTCTGTCAAAGGCAAAACTATGGAGACAAAAAAAAAAAAAATCAGTGGTTTTCTGGAGGTTCAGAGGAGGGAGGGAGGCAAAGACAAAAAATGAAAATGTTTAGGAAGTGAAACTATTATGGTATAAGATACTGTAATGGAGGATACATGTCATTTTATATTTGTCAAAATCCATCATAGACGGTACAACACCAAGAGAGAGTCCTAAGGTGAGTTATGACCCACATTATTAATAATGTATCAATAATGGCCCAACTCAAAACCTACCAAATTAAAGCAAGAGGTTTGTAATAAGATAAACTGCCTGTGAAAGAATAAGAAACTCTCTGTACTTTACACTTATTATTTCTATAAATCTAAAACTTCCATAAAAATAATTATAGAGGGACAGGGTAAAGAAGGAAGTTGAAGCAGTTTCCATATGCTAGATGTTCAGCAGAACTGAATATGAGCAAGTATCTCTCAGCAAATGTTTTATCGTATTCTAGATACATAATTCAGAATGATGGGATGCCTCCTGAGTATTCTTATAATTCAAATGTCCAGGTGGCAAGTGAATTAATGCCTTGTAATATAAGGAAGACAGTCAGTCATTAATTTCACAGTAAAGTGAGACCTGGTAACTGCATCTCTAATACTGCTAAGTTTCTTGAAAGTTGACTCAGCACAATCTATTTTATTGTAAACTGTGAGAATTAAACCAAACTCAGTTATACTCAATTTTAATAAATATGACCTTTTCTAGAATATAATTTTAAAAGGATGTATTCTTGAAGAAAAATATAAAGAATATATCTCTCCCCCAGCCTGTTTCTACCAGTTACATCATAAAAACCACCTTTAAATTTATCTATAGTTGTAGAGATCAAACAAATATACATATATAAATACACCCTAAATATTCTGGTCTATTTTAATTAGTTATGTGAAGATGTACAAGATTCTCATTTCCTATCTTGAATAGGTTTCATTGCTTATATGAAGCTTCAAAAGGCCCGATAAAAGTAGTAATCCTCCAAGTGTGGTCTACAGATTCCTGGGAGTCTTTAAGTCCCTTTAAAGAAATCTGTGATGTCAGAGGATAACATTAAAATATTATTTATTTACTGATTCAGACATGTTCACAGATACTGCAAAAGCACACTGGAAAAAGAAGCTGGCTCCTGAATATGGTATACGCACCAAACTACTAGTCATTATTGTAGTCATCACTGCTAGGCATTCACTGTAAAAATAACACTTTTACTTATGGATGTCCTTGATGAAGTAATAAAATTAATTTTATTACATCTTAAATCTTAAGTATGTATTTTTAGTACCCCATGGAATTAAAGGAGAAATACACACAAAATGGTTATGCTGCATACCAAATTACAAAGGTTGTTTTGAGGCTAAGCACTTGTGCTACTGTGTGGTGGCAAAGTTTCATTTCTCATGAAATACGTTTTTTACTTCAAAGAACAAATGGTGAATTACGGTTACTCAGATTGGAACGTTTTCAGATATTTTCTCAAAAAACAAAACCCATCAAAAAACAAGTGTTTGTTTCCAATGATAAAAAATGGATAATTAAGTGGAAATTGGAATTTTGAAGAACATGTATGTGCTACTGTGAACTTGACAGGTTCCTGATATTATAGAAATATTTCAGTGACAATGGCAGTGATATTAACAAATGTGAATTTTAAAAAATTGTATAATGAAGTGCATTAATATTTGGATAATCTGCATAACTCACTGAATGAGTATTTTCAAAATGACTTATGTGTTAGGTTACAAAATCATGCATGTGTAAAATATTCATTCAAACTTCACAACAGATCAATAGACTGTAATATGAATACTAAAATTTCATTTATATGGTTTCGAATTACACATTACAACTAACTTTTAGGAAAATGTCACTTATCCAGTTGTGGTGCGTTATATTAAATGAGAATATCTATAATTATATAATAATAATGAAACCACAGTTCCTAATCAAAATGACTCAGAACACGAGACTAAAAGGCTAATTTGATGCCTGATATAACTATAATGATAAGAATGTCATAAAACACTGCCTGATATTTAACTTACAAAGAGAATTCTGTTTTACTAATTTCAGTTGTGAGGTAGTCAATTTTTCTTCTTGCTGATTTTTATTCTCTTCATCACTCTCGTCTTGTACTACAAAGTCATCAATAATATAATCATCTCCATCTTCATCATATTCAAAATCACCCTCTTCCTCCTCATCTTCATCACTACTTGGGGAGGATTCTTTTTCAGAGTACTAATTAAATGAAAATAAATGTATTAGCAAATTTTGCCTTTAAAATAGACATTATGCATATGAAATTAAGATTAAATCTGAAAGCAAAAAAATAAAGATCCACAGAATTAAGTTCCTATGTTAAGGTTATTAAGGAATTTTGAAAAGTTAAATGCTGAACTTTTGAAATTAGGAACAGTATACCTTGATTAAGTGATGTATGTTTAAAAAATATATCAATAAGAACAAGAAAGACCATAGAAAACAATGAATAGTCTTTCAATTTTAAAAAAGAGTAAGGGACTGAAGTTTACGTAAAACAACATATTACACACAATAGTGTAATCAAACATGTTGAAGGATACTTGAATAAAAACTTCTAGACTTACTAAGAAATAGAACAGATTCAGTACGTTAATTTTCAGAAAAATTAAATAGCTTAAATAAAAATTTAATAACAATAACAAAATCAACAAAATGTAACACACCTCAAAATCTCTACCACTATTGCGTCTCTGGAGAGATCTTTGTTTTGAGAGTTCCTTCAGCTTCTGGAGTTGTTCTCGATTTCGAGCAGCTATTGATTTCTCAGGATTATTCTGCTCCATTTCCACCGAAGAACATTCATCTTCAACCACTGTACGTGGACGTTTAACACCTACTTTTCTAACTAAGATATCACTGTCATCACTGTCATCACTGTCATCCATTACAGAAGATGTCCTTTTTCTTTTCCCTCGTTTGATTTGTTCTTCTTCCAAATCTTCCTCTATGATTTGTCTAGTGTGTTTGGTGATATCATCATCATCTGGACTCAGATACTTTCCAGGATTTAATAAGTCAATAGTCCTATGACTGGTTTTGTTCATTTCTTCTTCATATGTGGAAATGTTGCCAGTGTTAATGAGTTGCTTATTATTGCTTTCTCCACTTTCAACTTTGATTAATTTGAGCTCTCTTTCATTTTCTGGTATTTTATTACCATCAAGCCCCTTATGACAATCAAGCGGTTCATCATTGTCAACACTTTCATCACTATGAAGCTCTTCATCACTATCAAGCTCTTCATCACTATCAAATAACTGTGAGATACTATTTCTTTTGGTCCGTCTCCAATCAACTCGAGATTTTTGTTTAGGCGCTTGAGTTTTAGAATTTGACCTTGTTTCATGTCTTCTAACATGTACCATTTTCACTTAAGCTTCTACAAAATAAAGTTATTAGGAATACAACAATGATAACCAGATTACAGCAATGAATGCATATATGGTAAGCATTATATTTACTCTGCTTTATTAAATGGTCCACAGAAGCAAAATCACATGGAATATATAAGTAGAGATGGTAAAAGCCACTCAATAAATAATTGATTGAACATCTATAAGATAGTTGTAGGTACATGTGTTCTGAATTATGATATGAATATGTTGTTGAAAGGGATACACAGGAAAATGGTCTGTGTCCTTCAGAAAATTATATGTCAGAAAACTATATGTAAAACTGAAATGTACAACACAGAACTAAGAAAAATTCAAGGTATTTGCTTTGTGCCAAATTAGAAATAGAAAAAGCCATTTCAGTTAAAAACAGAAAGGGCAAAACTTTGTCACTGATAAAGAACGTTATTTTTAGTAAATAAGTATTACTGAAAAGGTATCAGGAAAAAGCTTCAGGCTGGAAAAAAGACATGGATGAAAGTAGAGTGAAATTACCAGGAAGATTCATCCTGTAGCCAAAAAAGGATGTTGAACAGAGAAATTACATGAATTATAAAGGATTTGTCTATTTATAAGAAGAAAGTTATAAAGTAGTACCAACCAAGAAAGAAAGCAGTGCAATATTGAGAGAGAAACTACCCACTAAAACTGTAACCTCTCTACACCTTAATGGAATGATAATGGCTTTAAATCACTCAAGGTTAAAGATGTACTATAATATAATAGAAAACTACTAACAATCCAACAATGTAGTCAGATGAAAAAGATAAAAAATTTCATAGTAAAGCAGAGTATGATACTGGGAAGAAAAAGAAAAGCTGTCAAATTATGATTTAAAAAAGATTAAATTCCATAAAAACTATCACAAGTTATGAACAAGAAACAATTAATGACAGGTAATATAACTAGAAAATCACTAACACACAGGTACTTCTCTTGTTGCTAAGGATTACCACAATGTAATGACAGTGATCTCAGAATACATGTACAGAGCTTATCTATTCAATTGAGTGATATCACTTTCAAAAAAGTCATTTTATCAAGCTGATTATTCCAATATTCCTAGCACAACACAAAATACTCTTGGAGGTTTTTTATAAATGATAGTACAAAACAAAAACAAAAATTTTAAAAAATAGTCACCCTTTTTTTTTTTTAATTCCAAAGAGTAGTTGCAACATCCACTTCTTGCACTTGTCTCAGGTATAAGGAACAGGTAGCAGATTCCGGAATAAAATTTTTGTAAAATGAATATTAATTATCATTAAAGATATTTTAAAAATACCTGACATACTCTGAAGTTAATTCTCAAACTGAAAAGCCTAAACTTTTTTGAGCAATGACAGTACCACTGGGCCAAGTTTATAGCTTCCCAAGATGATTAATTGGGAGAGGGGAAAAGGATAATGCTCATTTGATTGTATAAACTGTGGTATATTTATAATGCAATGTGCCCGCCTACAATACCTTATTTAAAATCAGAACAAGAGAGTTTGTATGATTATATACCACAAATTATCTTTATAATGTACACTGCAGTATAACTTTATGACAGTAACTGCTACAAGAAATAATCAGTATTGTGATAGCAATCTAAAAATTCTAGTCAATGGACTAAATAGTCTGATATTTTTGAAATTATGTTGCATCTTATAGAAGTCTTATATTAAAATTAATAAAGATGAAAATTTTGTGTAGTCGAAAGTACCCCTTTAAAAATACTCTCGAAAGTACTGTATATTTTGTGTTTACCATACTGCTTTCTAGTAAACATGTTTGAATTGGCAGAAATAATGAAAAAAGCACTTACGATAACAAGTGACAATTAGTTTTCAACAGATACAGTAAACCAAATATGGTCAGTAAAATATATTACAGTGAAAGATGACTTTATTAATATCCCAAAGCAGATTTACTTACACTAGATTATTTCACAAAACTATAACATGTTCAAAACACAGGTACCTATATGATAGATAAGTCCTATGATAATGATAGAAAAAATTAAGAATATCACACTATTAAACAGTCCTATGACTACACATAATTAAGGTATAAAAGAAATTCCCTGTACTTTCAGTGTACTTTCATATTTGTTTTTAAATTCTGAAAACGATCCTAAGAGGAAGATACTACCTCTCTTCATTTATAAATATTAAAGCCAAGGGCCGGGGATTCAGCTCAGTGGTCTCGCTGCCTGCTGCGCAAGCGCAAGGATCCGAGTTCGATCCCAGGTACCAAAAAAACCAAAACCAAAAACAAACAAAAAAAGCCAAGCACATGGCGTTTAAATGACTTACTGAAGATCACACACAGCTTGTTAGCAACAGAGCAAGGCTTAGAAAACAGGTCTTTTGATTTCCAGTCCACAGTTATACATTGACTGCTGTCAATACCATATTTGTACAGGTAGTAAAAATAAAGACTTTGAAGTATTACTTTATCTCTCATTCATGCTAATTTTAGTTTCAGAAAATTACCATCAAAATTGTTTAAAATAGAAACATGCTTTACAAACATGCTTTTTATACTAAATTTTAGTGCACATGAGTTAGGCCACAAACTTCTGAAAATTATCAAGTAGCCAAGAGAATGTAGTTCCCAAAGTGCCCAAAAGTAAAATTTTCAAGAAAGAGTGTGTTTGATGAGGAAAAATATTTACTCTGCAAAACTACAGAATTTGAATGCTTGTGGAGACACATTTTATTTAAATATACCAATTTCATTTGCTAAACTGTCTCTCATATTTCAAAATTGCAATTTGCATCAAGTAAACTTTTGTTACTGAAGATGGAAATTTGAACATGGTTAGCTCCTCTTTTAAATTGTGTATATCTTTATTATATTACCTGGGTAGCGAAGAAGGATGACAAGAATAAGGTGAGTGAACCTACAGAGAGAAATGAGAAGGTAAATCAGGTTCATTAGTAAGACATCTCAGTCTTTAGAATCCACGCAAAAAAGAATCCATGCAAGTGGATGCAATTTCTGTATATGCTCAGTTTCTTGAAATGAGAATTCTAATCAAACTTCTGTAATACCTTACCTTCAGGCAAAAGAAAAAGAGACCCCAAACAGAAAGCATTAAATAAGTGAATGAAGATCAATACTATCACATCTCTGTGCTTCATGGTAAACATCACATAAGACGATACACATGGTTATGTTGTCTGCCAAAGAATATTAATGGTGATAATCCATATTGCTTGTGTTTTTGCTCTGACAGTAATTCTACACCTAAAAGAAGGTACCTTAATAATGTCATTTTGATATTAATTCATACTTCAGAAAAGATTCAGTATAGAAATCATCTCGTTTCTGCATAAACAGTGTAAGTGGTAGTTTAGATGTTTAAGATTTGAAGGGCAGTGGAATTCCAGATCATTATATGAAAATGTACCGGATGGGATTCAGTAACTTGTAAATCACTCTTCCTTGATTTTTTTTTTTTCATATGGAGATTTGGAGAGTAAACATTAACATACCAAGGAAATAGTTGGCAAATGTCTACCAAAATGTCAGCACTGTTTGGAGCAGTGTCGTTACCGATGACAGTACGGTTACGATGTCTGCTCCCAAGGAGCTCAGAACCTGAAAAACATACTAGGGATACCAAAAACAACATGGTACGCGATTTGAGGGACTCAGTATATAATTCTAATTAAGTTCTTATCACATTGCTGTGAATAAATTTACCATTGCCCTCCTGTTGGCTGGAAAAGAGTACAGCACAACACAAAATAAATACAAAATGGGAAAATAAGAAAGAGTTATAAAGGAAATCCAATTTCCCCCATTAGAATCATAGGCCAATACTACACAATTTCGCAGCGCGGATCCTGCCAACCTGGCATCCACCATAACTACAGTATAACATCCATTAAAATCTGTAACACTGACAGTGGCTCACTAAATCCAGCAAGGTTAAGCGGGAGACGGAGGAGAAAGATTCTCTAGGGAGTTAACACCAGTGTCATTTTCATTGCAGACCTGGCTCTTCGGCGGGACCAAGGCACCCCGCGCAGACCGCCGCCCACGCCCGAGTCACTGAGCCTCCAGGAGGGAGGGGCACCGCAGTCAGAAACGAGATCTCAGAGCTTCTCTAAGACCGAAGCCCCCAGACCGCATAGGGACGCTGCACCCAGAAAATAAACTAGGGTCTGGAAAAGCCAGAAACCCAAATCACGGATCCAGCTCCTCGCCTCAGTCGTGAGCACCTCCCTTGGCAGAAATAAGGGGTACGGCTCCACAGCAGCTCTACTGAGGAGGGTTGGTGGCGCAACTGGCTGAGAGACGCCTCGTTGTCCACTCTGAGTGCCCCCGAGATTTTACTCTGGTTTTGCCAGAAGGAGCAGTTTCCTCCGCCCCCCAATAAACCATTAGCAGCCCAAGCGAGAGCTAGTCCCAGCCAGAAGCTGGCCGCGCGTAGCCACCGTCCTCTCACCTTTCAGAGCGCCTCCGCCTCTGCCCCTGCCCCCGCCTCCGCCTCCGCCTCCGCCTCCGCCTCCACCACGCACCAGCAGGACTAGCGGCGCCCCAACCTCTTCCGGGGATCAGAGGAAGTCCCGCCTCTGGGCGGAGCGAGGGCGGGTCCAGGGGCGGGCGCGCGGGAGGCGGTGTCTTCCGGGAGCCTGCGCTGAGGGGCGGAGCGGCTGCCGCGCGGCAGTCAGAGAGCTGTGCGAGGTCCTGGTTACAGCTGAGGTGGGAGAGGGGCCCGGGGGGTTGAGAGGGTGGACTGTGCAGGCTAAGCCCAACACAGTGCAGTGGCGCTGCGTAGCGGGAGGGCCTGGCACCTGGGGAAGGAATCAAACGTTACCGTTCCTCAGGGGAAGGGACCAGTACCCGACTCCCTGGCTCTTCCGCTCTCTGCTGTAACTTTGGGGTGTGGCAGTGGTTGGTGAAAGACCTTCACGCGCGTCTTGTGAGCGAACGAGGTTTGTGGCCACAAGGCGGTTATAATCTTCGCGGCCACTGGGGTAATAAGACACATGTCTGTAATCCTGATTATCCGCGGTGAACTGGGGCCTCCTCTACTGCCCATCTTGAGTTAAAGGCCTACTGCCTCAAACTTCCTCTTTCATCTTCCTCTGCAGTCTCTTTGCCAGCCAAGCCCAGCTGGGGAGGGGGTCAGGGCCATCAGGATGCTTTGAAGATCAGAAGATTGAGTGTGTTAAGACTTTGTTAAAGTGGGTCAAAGAGATTTGTGGATTACTACAGTGTAAGAGTGAGGAAAGTCCCCGAAGCTCACTATGTCAGGGAAACGGAAGCGTGTGGTGTTGACTATTAAAGATAAGCTCGATATAATAAAGAAACTTGAAGATGGAGGTTCTTCCAAACAGCTGGCTGTGATTTATGGAATTGGTGAAACAACAGTTCGGGATATTAGAAAAAATAAAGAAAAGATTATAACTTATGCAAGCAGTTCTGATTCTACAAGTCTTCTGGCCAAGAGGAAATCTATGAAGCCATCCATGTATGAGGAACTGGATAAAGCAATGCTGGAGTGGTTCAACCAGCAGAGAGCAAAAGGGAATCCCATATCTGGACCAATTTGTGCAAAAAGGGCAGAGTTCTTTTTTTATGCTTTGGGAATGGATGGCGATTTTAACCCCTCAGCTGGTTGGCTAACTCGTTTTAAGCAGCGGCACAGCATTAGAGAAATTAACATTAGAAATGAAAGATTAAATGGAGATGAGAATGCTGTGGAAGATTTTTGTAACAACTTTCGAGATTTTATTGAACAAGAGAATTTGGAGCCTGAACAAATCTACAATGCAGATGAAACTGGACTGTTTTGGAAGTGTCTGCCTTCCAGGACTTCAGTAATGAAAGGTAAATGTACTGTTCCTGGGCATAAGTCAGTTGAAGAAAGAGTTACTATCATGTGTTGTGCCAATGCAACAGGTTCACACAAGCTTAAACTTTGTGTTGTGGGCAAAGCAAAGAAACCTCGATCCTTCAAGTCAACTGACACTTTAAACCTGCCAGTCTCTTATTTCAGCCAAAAAGGTGCATGGATGGATCTTTCCATTTTTAGACAATGGTTTGATAAGATCTTTGTGCCACAGGTTCGAGAATATTTAAGATCCAAAGGTTTGCAAGAAAAAGCTGTGCTTTTGTTGGACAATTCACCAACACATCCAAATGAAAATGTCCTGCGTTCAGATGATGGTCAAATATTTGCTAAATATTTACCACCTAATGTGGCTTCATTGATTCAGCCCTTGGATCAGGGAGTCATAGCAACAATGAAGAGAAATTATCGTGCAGGTCTTCTTCAGAAAAACTTGGAAGAAGGTAATGACTTAAAATCATTCTGGAAGAAGCTAACTCTGCTGGATGCACTTTATGAAATAGCAATGGCATGGAACTTAGTAAAACCAGTTACTATTAGCAGGGCTTGGAAGCAAATTTTTCCTACCATAGAGGAGAAAGAAAGCATGGATTTTGATTATGAAGATATTTCTGTGGCTACTGTGGCCACCATTTTACAACATACCAAAGGACTGGAAAATGTGACTACTGAAAACATTGAAAAATGGCTTGAAGTAGACAGTACTGAACCAGGTTATGAAGTATTAACTGACAGTGAAATCATCAGAAGAGCACAAGGCCAGACAGATGAATCTAGTGAAAATGAAGAGGAGGAAATAGAACTAATTCCAGAGAAACATATAAATCATGCAGCTGCTCTCCAATGGACTGAAAATTTGTTGGATTATCTAGAACAACAAGGTGATATGATTTTACCTGATAGACTGGTAATACGTAAACTTAGAGCCACCATCAGAAATAAACAAAAGCTGACAAACTCAAGTCAATAATGGCATTTTAATTTAATCAATTTTGATAATTAAGTTTATCATGCTTATCCTCTTTGCAATATGTTTTAATTGTATTTGTTTTTTGAATTCTTCAGACACAGTCCTGTAAAAAAAAAAAAGTGTCTGTCTTAGCTTGCGAATTGTGTGTTTTCTTTATCTGTCTTGCCCCATTATTTTGCAGATAATCAGAACCTGATACTATACTGATACCAATGTATTTAGTTGTGTAAATCTGCAGTCAGTTCTTCAAAAACCATGGCGTTCCCCAAGTTCTCTAGCAAAAGTTAGAAATCACAGTGAACAAAATTAAGCACTGTCCTAAAATCTTTTGCTTGAACTTTGAGGGCTCCCACAATAATTTTTTCTTGTGCTACCATAAACAGTTGTTTTGTGTATATGTATAGGTTGAAAGGATGAGAAAAATGGGTATTATTAGATTTCAGGATGATCTATAAAATGAAATTTAGTAATGGTGGGGAAATAATGATCTGTTAATCATAAAAATAACTTACAAATTATACTTCTGTTTTACATTTGCGTGGGTGGCAAGAAGGGGAGATTTTTCGGGAAATGAAATATAGGAAGTAACTGCTAAATGAGAAACTGTTGGAAAGCTGATATTTAAAAGTGGTATTCTGATCAATTGTAGGAAATGGAGTTAAAAATTTTGGAAAGTAAGTTATTTATACAAAGAATATTTTAATTTGGTCTTTTACTATGAATTGGGTAATAATATACATTTATTATTTATTTATCTAATTATAGTGTAGATTTCTTAATGCTTCATGTAATGATATGAGCTCCCACCTTGTATTTGGTGAACATCTTGGGAATTTAAAAGTAAGGTTTGTTTTATTTACGGAATATTAAGAAATATTACCTATAACTTGAAAAATTTTGTCATACCTGACTTACTTGATACGAAAAGAAGAAAAGAATAAAGTTTTTATTATTTAAAACAAAGTCATGTTTGTATCTTTTTATGAAGAAAGCGCAAGTAACTATGGAAAGTGCCAGCCAGGGATTTCATTGCTTGTTTTGATAATTGTAAAAAAAGGATTATTTCTTCTGAACTGTAATATGTCAGAATTTTGATAAATTTTAATAAGCTGTTCAACATTTTGAAAATACTGTGCATATATTAAAATTAATTAATTTAT